AAAAAAAAAAAAAAAGAAGTCATTCTGGACTGTAGAAAGGGAGCCTAGAGCTAGGAAAAAAGTTTGTGAACACATATTGGCAAAGCTGAGCAGTGGGTAGAGAACAAAGAGAGAACAGAGACCTGAGGGGAATAAAATATTCTGACATTTAGGAACTTTCACTCAACTTGCCCTCTACTCTCAAGAGAGTATCAAAATTGATAATAAATGTTATAGAAAAGGCAGAAGTGAGAAAAGGATTAGCACCTTGAAAACTGTCTTGTACATGATAGGTGCTCAGTGTCAACGCGTGGATGAGAAAGGAGGGGGAGACAGAATTCAATTTTATAAATACACGCCTTTACGGGAACCCAGATTCATCCAAAGTGTCTGAGAGATGAGCCTGAACTTTTGGACTTCTTCTCTAATGAAATAAGCAACTGTTGTATGCTCCCCCCAAAACCTTGGCTCTCCTTATCCTGGTACTTTGTTTTCACCATTAGGAGAACACACACACACAGAAGATTGAGAAAAGTCATTCCTGGTTGGTTGATTTTGCTGCTAGATGGGAAAGTTAAAAAGTTCAAGCTGATTTCAGCTTTCCTAAGTCATCTTCTCCTGTGCGCTCTTGTCTAGGGGATGGTTTGTGTTGTAGCCCCCTCTTTTGTGGGAAGTCAGACCCCAGTCCAGAGACAAATCCATTGTCACTATATGTGGAAGCTGTCAAGTTGAGACACGCTGAGAATGAGCTGAATCATATGGGAAACCAGGACATTTGTGGAGTACTTGCCAATGGCACCATATATCTGGAAGACTCAAACGTGAGTCTCCTGCTTGTGAAACGCCTATTTGGGGATCAGTCTTCCAGTATGCAAATCACATTATCTGCATACAATGATTTAGTAGGAATCTCTCCAGAGAGAAAGCTCATTATCCATCTCGCCCTCACTTGCCCAACTACAAGCCTTATAATGGACAGGCATCATAGCAAGGGCTCTGGGGGCACCTGAGTGGCTCAGTCGGTTAAGCATCTGACTCTTGACTTGGGCTCCGGTTATGTTCTCACGGTTCTTAAGTTGGAGCCCCGCGTCAGGCTCTGCACTGACAGTGCGGAGCCTACTTGGGATTCTGTCTCCCCCTCTCTCTCTGCCCCTTCCCCACTTGTGGACATGCTCTCTTTCTCTCTCAAAATAAACTTAAAAAAGAAAAAGAAAAAAGAGCAAGGACTCTGGAACAAACTGGCTGAATAGTGGCCTGGAGTGAATTACCATGGGCATCATATGCAATATGGAGTTAACAGCACTGACAGCACATGGTACGTAAGACAATTATTATCTTATTGTGTAAGATTACATAAGAATTCATATTAATTACTTAGAGCATGGCACAGGGAACATGCTCTACGAATGTTAGCTGTTATGAGAATGGGTTTGGCTTTTCCTAGTAACTATTTACTGACAAAATCCAAGTTTCATTCTTCTTAGTGGCTAGTACCCTTATAATTTCATCAATCAAAAGAAAGAAAACCAAGAGTCAAATGATTCAACAGTCTAAAAAGAACCAGCAACTCTAGGTTTCTTCTAGTTGGAATAGCATTAGTAACAGGAACAAACTCGATTAATTACTCTGCTCCAAGGTCAGTGTCGGATTCCCCCCACCCCCCAGGTCACAAAAGATGTCATAGACTCACTCCATTCCCCTGCAGAATGCTCACTGACTTGCCAAATACTACCAGGTTTAGGACTGCTATATGGCATTAAAAAAAAAAAAAAAAAAAAAAAAAAAAAAAAAAAAAGAGTTTAATTTCTTCACATCAGCTCCAGAAATGATTTTTAAGTCATTTGTTTAGGGAAACAACAATGATATTGGAGAGAAAAAGGTTTTGGAATCAGAAGATCCAGGTTCAAGATTCTGCCTCTCACTATACTGGCTGTGTGACTTTAGACAAGTCACTGACCCTCAGCCTTGAGATGAAAAAGGTAATACCTGCCCTACATGCTGGGGGCAAGGGCCATAACTCCCCCACCCCCAAGATAAAAATGATACAAGGTTCTTTTATCATCAGACATTTCAAGTGAAAGAACTTGAAAGACATACACAATTTTAGCTACTGTTATTATATTAAATTGCTTCCCAAATGCCCATAATGGGGAATGAGAAGGGAAAACAGAAATTAACCAAGAGACACATGGACGCCGCTTATGCCCACAGCTATAGCCCTTAGGTCCAGCCTGGCCCCTGTAGTAGAAGCAACATAGGTGCTGGTGTTAAGCTTCACCTCTGTGGATACTGGCTGCTAACCAGGCATGAAGGGCAAAGAGAGGAGCCACATAGGGAATGGACACCAAAACAAAAAGGTAGATCTTTAGTAAGCTAAGAATATCTGAACTCCTCAGTCAGTTTGGGCTTGAGCCCTTTTCATAAAAACACGCAGAATACCAAATAGTTTCAGAACCATAGTATTTTTAGCCCATCGCTATTTCTGATTCTGAGACCTGTGCTCAGTGTTGAAGTATCCCTGTAACAAGTTAACCCCTCACCCCCAGAAGTCCACTACAGAACCAAGAAACATTTCTAGAACTTTCTCATACTTTCTGCTGGTACTTACCCAGTGGTGCTCTTCCTCTGGTTTGGACAATGAAATAGATACTCTGTAAGAAGAGCTTTGGATCATGACTCCCCTACTTGTTCCTGCCATATCCCGGAAAGAAAGAAAACGTCTATACTATTTCAGGGCATACCTAAGGCCTGGAGAACTCTCTCCATGTAAAGCCGGGAAGAAAAAAGCTGCTCTGTTACCACAGACCAAGCAGGAAGGTGGTTGTGTCGGAATTTGTCCAGAGGCCCCAGTGGGGAAGGTCCACTGATTCAATGCATGGCTTTTTCTTGTTTTATTTACCTTTTCTTTGGCCCTGAGTTGGTCAAACATCTCCTGAATCTCATGTTTCCAGTCATCCTGCAGGCAGTGGAAGGAGTCCTTGGGCATTTCAAAGAAACCAGACTCCTCTATGGTAGTTAGCTGGTCCAGGATATTTGTGAAAGATGGTCGTGAGTGAGGGTCGGGATTCCAGCAGTCTGCACGGAACACGTGAGCGGACAGAAAGCATGAATGGACAGAGACAAGCGTTAAGACTTAGAATATTACAGGACCTCACTTACCAGAAGTAGTTTTCCCTCCAGAAACTGAAACACTGGGTAGGTAACCACAAATAGGGCTGGGGAAATAAAACAAGCTGCCCACCCTCAATATTATAAAGACTGAATGGGGAAATATAATGCGGCCGCCCCCGTCTGACTCTGTTGAGTTAGCATAAGAAAAGCAAGTCCAGAGACTGCCTGTGTGAAGTTCAACAGCCATGACTTCTCATGTTCCTACACGATTCCAGTCTTGACAGTGGGTAACGAGACTTGGGGCCTCAATCTCCCACAAATAAATGAGCCAGCCTTGCCCACCTCTAAGGGATGGTGATAAGGCAAGGATAAAAGGCACCAGGCTGGGCAGCAGGAAAAGTGAACTCTACCTACTCTCAGCTCAGACACTAGCTAATGGAGTGCACCTCGCCTCTCTCAGCTTTGGGTTTCTCACTTAGGGTCTGACCAGATGACTTCTAGAGTTCCTTTCTTCTCCGATGTTCTTTGCTTCTATATGTGTAATACGCTCATTTTTTATTAAGTAATAAAATGCTAAAGCCCTGGATAGCAGGCTTTAGTCACTGAGCCAAGCTCTACAGTCACTGTAGATGGACAGAAGGGACATCTGTGACATCAGTGAGGCAGGGTGTTGACATATCTTCAAGCAGGTCTTCCAACCACCCACAGGATTCCTCTGTGAGTGACCAATGCTTCACCTCCTCTTTCAGTAACCGACCCAGCAGGATTGTCTGCAACGTACCCAAGGGCTGCCGAAAGGTAAACTTTCTCCAGTTTTGTTCCAGCCAGGGGTCACTTACCTTCCATGAGTTTGGCAAAAGGTTCTGGGCACGTAGAAGGAATGGGAAGAGCGAGCTTGTTCATGGCCACTCCATAGGCTACGGCTAAGCCATCGATTCCTCGGAAGGGCACCTCGCCAGTCAGGAGCTCCCAAAGCAGCACCCCGTAGCTGAACAGGGGAAGAAGACAGAAGCCACAAGGCAGTCTCACCGACAGGGCTCATGAGACCTTTCTGAGCTGCCCACACTCTTTCTGGGACGGAGGGACACCAACAAAGCAGATGCACCAATGGAATACAGACCGGGAGACCACGAGGCCAACCCACTAAAAGCAAAAGCTTTGGAGTCAGGCACACTTGATTTCGAAGGCTTGTTCCTCAGATTCCTCATCTGTAAAGTGCAAACAACACGGCCAGTCTCACAAGGCTGCCGTGAGATTCACTGAGCCACTCTAAGGGTTTAAATCCGTGCCGGCCAGCCACAGCTATTCTGCTGTTATCCATAACATAACACTCTGGAAGAAGAGGCAGCCTCCCAAGAATACATTTTTTGTCTGTTTTAAGAAAAGTTCAGCGTTAGCCACAGATATATTTCTTTGGTTTTAGAAAAGCAGAGACCTGACCACCTAGAACAGATTTTGCTCTTGTAACAGATTTCTTTAAATGCCCATTAGGTTGGATAGATTCCTGCCGCTGATCACTTAACAGAGACTCTGTCTAATTCAAAGGGGAAAGTTGCACAAGCGTGGCCAACATGGGGACAACAGAGCAGTGTGTCAGCTGTGAGGACTTCAGTTTCCTCTCCACCTTTCAAAGCCACATGAAGAATTTCTTTTCACATGTCCTGTGAGTCAGAGAATGGGGAGCACAGAATTTAGCAGAATAATTATTCTATGAATTCACAGTCAGAAAGAGGCAAAATCATGTAGGGTTCAATCCTTCCAGGAATAACAATCCTTTCAGGACAAGCACCATAAGGCCACGAACAGTAAAGAGTGGCTCTCCTCATATTTTAAACACAAGCCTCAAATTTTTAAAAATACTCACCGGTAGTTTATAACCAACAAAGTCATGTTATTTTCAAACAAAACATAGCTCAGGTGGGAAAGTGTGCGACTCTTGATCTCGGAGTCATGAGTTCGAGCCCCACTCTGGGCATAGAGATTAATTGGAAAACAGCCTAATATTTCATCATGGTACTTTGTACGCACAAGATGCTAAGACCTTTATAAACATCATCTTAAATCCTTACCACGAACCTGCAAGATAAATATTATCACCATTTTGCAGATGAGGAAAGCGAGGTTCAGGTAAGTTTAGCAGCATATATTAAGGGCATACGTGGAATAAGTCATGGTGGGCCCTGGACCAACTCTCAATTTCTTCTCTCTAGAATCTCCTAGTACCATTTCTCTGCTTGGTGAACTATAATCGTCTTTCAAATTCAAATGCTCCACCCTTTTTTCATTCGTTTTAAACATCTACTAAAGATTTATTGTGCATCAAGCTCACTGCAGGCCACTGGGATACAAGACACAGATCTTATCTACAAAGAGACTACCGACAGGAACAGAAAAGATGTCAATTAGCACACAGAGTGGGTCACAACAGACATATTATGAGTGCACAAAGAGACAATGATGGGCCCCTGGCCACCTAAACCAGACCAGAATGGGTCCAGGAGACAGCTAAGCCCGGACTGCTAGGCAAAAGAAGACAGGGATCGGCATATACAAAGCCAAGGCTTGCCCTCAAAGAATCCCAGGTGACCTGGCATGGCTCCAAAGGAGAGCAATGTGCCAACCAATGCACCAGGGCATCCCAGAAGATCCCCGCAGACGGTCCTCCAGAGTGGCCTGGCCAGTATCCTTGGACAACAGCGTTCCCCCAGTGCGTCCTCCAAATACATCACTTTCTTTATGTATCTCAACAACCACAAAAAGCCTGGTAGACAGTTACAGGTCTTGTCTTGACAGGCACTTGGCTTTTAGTCTGAGGCTGATGGCAACAATGGACACTTTAGGAAGCCTTCCCTGATGCTGCCAGTGTTACTTCACCCTTGTCTGGGCTGCCGTGGACTGTGGTTGTTTGTCTGCCAGCCAATGAGCCCTGCGAGAGCAGGGATGGTCGTTTAACCTTTGCTTTCTCAGGGCCTCGTACACAGTAGGCCTCGTCTAGTGAGTGAGCTGGTGGGAAGCACTGTATGGATAGACAGTCCCGCAGGCTGCACTGGGCGCCCTGGAGTAAGCCCTGAATTCCCAGAATAGCACTGTTATTCTTCCTGCCAAATCTTTACTGTGACTCATCCAGACAGCAGTCATGCTGGGCAGCTGCTACCAAGTGACCTCTAAGAACTGTCCGCACTGCGGACTAGACTCCTAGGCTACGGTGACCCTCAGCTTCAGTTGTCTGCTCCTGGCATCACTGCCAACCTCCACTCTGGGGAACAAAAACCCAAGGTCCCAAAGAACCCCTCTCCTGGTGTCTGAGCCCTAACTACCTGGAAAGACAGTAGAGGATTTCAAAGATCTAAACATGGGTCCTATTTGTGTCCTCACATCTACTCTGTGACGCTTTTAGTGCTGAGTCCTAGGTGACCCATGGAGATGCCTCGGGCCACCTCAAAGAGGGTGGAGCCAGGGACTCCGTCTCTCTCAGTTTCGACGAGGGCAGCCCTGCTCTCACCTGGCTTGTTTCTTTGTTCCACCGCATTTTGTTCCATGTGAAATGCCCCACAACTAGGAGAAATGGGTCGAATGCTGCCCAAGGAAGATTCAGACAGACTTGAGTCAAATGTGTCTGCTTCACCACTTACAGTGGTGGGGCCGTGGGAAAGGAAGCTTACCTGTCCAAACCTCAGTTTCCTCACTTGTGCAACAAAGACAGCCAATTCCCACCGCACAGAGTAACTGCAAAGAATAAATAACAGTAACTACTGCTTCTCCGGAAGCTACCCTCTACAGCTAGTAAACAGTGTGTGCTTCCCCTTGGGAAGGTCCTGAAACAAGAAAGCCTCTGGTGGGATTTAGGGCGAGACTGCAGTGTCGGCCGAGAGCCTTGCTGAGGGACGACAGCAATCAGGGAAGAAGCATTCCTGGGGATGACTGAACCAGTTAGTTCTCCTCTGCCAATGTTCCTCTTTATTTCTGTAACAGAAGGTGGTGATGTAAATGAAGACTTGGCATTCCTTTGGCAGGAATAGAGTCCAAGAAAGGAACTAAATAATGACACATTAGATGTGTCTGAGCCCCCGGGAGAGGTGGGCAGGAGAAGCCCACATGGTTTACCTCAGGTTTGACCCACTCTGATGCCCTCCCAAGGTTGAGAGAAGGTCAACAGGCCCTTTCAAGACCTTGTACAAGCGGCCTGGAGGTACCAGCTCAGCTAAAACTCTGCCTCAGTCCCTCCCCCAACGGGGAGCCGCCCATTCCCACAGTGCTGTCAGTGATTTCCCAGGCGTCCTTGCAAACCTTGGGGAATGCACCCTGTGTCAATGATTAACCACCTCCAGAGGTATGGTAATGCCTTCCACCATTTGGTGGGGTCACAGGTCAGGGAGGGGCGTTCTGTGTTCTCAAAGTGAGGAAAAGCATCAGAGTAGATAGCAACCCAACCAAAGGCACAGCAAATCCACACCTGAGCTGGACCAGGACTATTTTTCTTATTAACCTATGTTGTCTCTAAGACACACATCCTGATAGCAGAGGGTGTCCCTTGAATGGGCTTCTGCACTTGGTAATTGGCTAAGACCCCACATTCCAGAAACCATGCTACTTAATAATTGTTGGTGAAGATAGTTGAACTACCACATATGAAAGCACTCTGTAAATTGTGAAGTAACACAAAACTGTTCTTGTTGTTGTTGTTAACCAGACCTCATTCAAAATGATGATCTATTTGTTACTATATATGTAATATATAGATGAATACATTGACATGGTAAATATTTACTGATATGGTAATATGCGCATGCTATATTACATTATTATTAT